TTAACGTAAAGATAGGTTGTCAGGCAACGAAACATACGCCAATAGCAGCTAAATCATCCGGGCTGTCAAGAAGAGTTGTTGCAAATTTTTACTTTTGTCGGTAATGAAACATTTATAATACACTAAAATCTGATTAAAAGTAACAAGTCATTAAGCAATTATCAGAGAATCATTAAAATTTGTTTAACCTATGTTTAGTATACAAAACACTTAATATCATGGATTTAGCTGTTCAAGTTATTAAAATTCATTGAAAATCAATATACTTGTTCATCTCAAGACCTTAAACTCTGTGTATCAATCTAAAGTCAATCGAAACGAATATATATAGGCGTAAACACGGTGTATGAATATAAAATCAATCAGATGATAACTATGGTCTCTAAAAGCATCCACAAGATTTTTCAAAGTGATCAATGGCCATAACTCTGGCAGTAATTATCGGAAATCGTTCAAAAAAAATATCAATAGACCTTTTCGTGTGTATAAATGTAAAGTCAATCGGATATTAACTTGAGCCTCTAGAGCGTCCACAGGATTTTTCAAAGTGATCAAGGATCATATAGGAAATCGTTGAAAATCAATAGGTTTCTTCGTCTCATGACCTTAAACACTTTGTATTAATTCAAAGTCATGGCCTTAAACACTGTGTATAAATTTAAAGTTAATCGGATATTAACTTTAGCCTCTAGAGCGTCCATAAGATTTTTCAAAGGGATCAAGGGCCATAGCTCTGGCAGTAATTATCGGAAATCGGTGTAAATCAATAGGCTCCTTCGTCTCATGACCTAAACACTGTGTATAAATTTAAAGTCAATCGGATAATATTAACTTTAGCCTCTAGAACGTCCACAAGCAATTGTGGACGCCGGACCGGCGGGGCGACTGGGGCGACGACAATATACAATCACATTTCAATGTGGGCGTATAAAATATCTCGGTTCAGAGTGATGCCATTTGGCTGAAATTTTCAGAAAATTCTGTTTTCATTATCAATTTTTAACTATTATAGCGAGAACTTCCAGGTGTTTAGCTGATCTTATCTAATGCCCCTTTAAGTTTTTCAGAAATGTATAGTTCATTTAAAGTAGAGTAGAGAAACTCAATTCTAGTTGTATCAACACACCCGGGTACGTGGAGCCGGACCGACGGGACGATAACTATTCAGAAACACCATTTTAGCAACGGTTAATGAACTTCCAGAATATTAGCAGTCTGGAACTGATACAATAACTCATAATTAAATTCCCAACGGATAATTCTTAAATTTGCCGCGTAATGAAGTCTGTTAAAGTAACATTACGATTATTGAATAATGATGTTGTAACACGTAAACACCAAAGGGTTAACTAATTCTTAAATCTTGTACGTAATGTAACTTATATACTATAGTGCTATATTAATTCAGGGCAGTGGAATCTAGTTCAAAGTCCTTAATAAATCAACACATTTCTAGATCAATATGACTGTTATTGCGAAAATCAAATTATCTTATAAATATAATGGTACAGAACCCATCAAATACCCATGGGTTAATTCTCAAATTTTACACGAAATGTGTAGTAACATTATACCTAGAAGTACAGACCATCGTCCTTTCGTATCAATAATGTTGACGGTCGTTACCATTATTCGCGTAATCACGGAACAATAATTTGCTATTGAACTTATATACCCTGGGGATGTTTCTTAAATTTCGGAATCTAATTATGTTTTGTCACATAATGATAAATTGTTCGGGCAGTGATAAACACATGATTATACATGTACAAGAGCATCCAAACCTTCAAGATAGAGACGTATTCCTCACTAAAATGAAAGCCAATTGGAATTTTAACGGCACATTAAAACTCGGAATCATCAATCGATGCACAATTGTCAAAGGAAGAGGCATGCCAAATGGACAAATGGAATGTAAACGCGCAGGTGTCTGGCATCATTATTTGGTCATGTTGAAAGGAGAACACGAATAAGAAAGTCCTTCATGTTTAAATTATTTTTTTTTCTTAATTAATTGGAGTCAATATCTAACTTTTATCAGCAAAACGTAAAGTAGCAAATAAATCAAATGACATTTCAACGAATTATTCCTTTCGTGGCCATTGTTTAGTAATTTGCCGGAAATAGGCCTCTTGGGGTTGGCGAATTTCCAGTCATAAATGTTAACTGAAATGAGTTGAAATGGTGTTTAAAGCCCTACGTTTCTGCTCCATCCGGTCCATTGAAGGATGGTATACGCTATGAGATATGAGAGGAATTTTACCGAGACAGCGGCGCTACAGCCTTTTCTTATTTCGAATTCCAATTCCCGGGAGTTCTTTTACTTGTACGCCGACGTGTAAACGAGCCTCGGTACACGAACTATTAGACGATGTTCCTTGATAGACCCTCGGTTCTGCACCATTGTCAAGGATGGAACCATTAAAGAAAATCTCAAGGCAAAATATCATCTCTCTCTAACTTCGCAGGTTAACAATTCAATGAACCCCGACAGACCACTCGGCCACTCAACACCACACAAGGCGTAATAAGCCCATCCTAAGATTATCTTCACGGCTTCTATTTTAAGTCTCTTAGTAGTATTGGTACACGTGACGGAGTACGCTTTTAACTTTCTAGAACATCTTATAACACTAAGTCTTCTAATTGATTTGATAACTATAGAAGTTAGTTAATGTAAAGTTGTGGACTCCTCAGATAAGTATTTGTTTGTCATATTGATGTTCCATAAATAGTTTAATTGTCTTAATTTATTTGATAACCTTACATGACAATTATACAAACGTAATAGAAGTTGGTTAGCATTATAAACTCAAAAAGTAGTGACACCAAGCATAACCTGTCTCGAGCACCCCACCTGTCCATATTTTGTTGTCATACTCTTGTTCCATACATTATCTTAAACGGTCAAAGACATTCTATTATTCAGATAATTATGAGAGAAGAATTAAGACGACCCAATATCCCCTAGGTAAATCTTAAATTCCAGACGAAAGAAAGCGGGTCCTGACACCATGAAACTTTAGACTATGGGCAATCGTGGTATCGAATTGCTTTCATTTTTATAATCACAAATGACATGAAACAGGTAATGGAGAAGAATTCTTTACATATAAATGAGGCATCAATATGCAACTGAAAATAATGAGATATTATATTTGTCAAGTGAAGTGGATACTTTTTTAACGAAAATTTGTATATTTATTTTCATTCACAATTGGCGTATATTGCGCATGATCAATTCAGATAATTGAGTCGCGTTTCAAACTATTGAAGTCTTCTAAATGGGGAGGTGGGTGGGCTCATCGTGTCATTCAGAAGTACAAATCTGAAAGCAAACGGATTTCTGTGTGGCAAATTCTTAAACGTCTTTTTAAAGTTTCGCTGCCTTTACTCGAAATACGGTGGTTGTGTCTATAAAATAAATGGAAGTGTTGGGTGTCAGTCGGAGGTAGACCAAGCCTTGGGAGTTTTAAAAACATATCCTACCTTATTGTATTACCCTTTAGGACAACGACATGTGCATTCGAACCCGGTCGTGTCAACGTAGTTCCGGTCAGGTGAGTATGTTTTTGAAAAACTGGGTCTAAATAGTACTTTGTAGAGTATATCCTGATATTTCTAGCTTATGCACAAATTAGCGTGTGGCAATCTTACCAATTCATGACACACGATGTAGATGTTAGACTAAAAGAGCCCCCAAACAATAAAAGGGCTCACGACATTAACATCTTTAGGGTCCCCAAGTCTAACATACTCACAGGCTCCTTATTAAACCGTCCCTAGTTCTGTTGTTAATAAACAATATCCACAAACAAGATGCCGCCATTAAACTTTTTTTTTAAAATTTCGTCCTCTGATTGAATAACGAGTAAAACGAAAGTAAAGATAGGTTGCCAGGCAACGAAACATACGCCCACAGCAGCTAAATCGTCCGGGCAGTCAACAAGAGTTGTCGCATATTTTTACTTTTTTCGGTAATGAAACATTTATAATACACTAAAATCTGATTAGGAGCAACAATTCAGAAAACCATTAGAATTTGTTTGGTTTTTATAAAGTTCTGCCCCATGCTAACGTTTTGTATACAAAACTTTTAATATCATGGATTTAGCTGTTCCAAGTCATAAAAATTCATTGAAAATCAATATACTTGTTCCTCTCAAGATCTTAAACTCTGTGTATCAATCTGAAGTCAATCGGATGATAACTTTAGCCTTTAGAGCATCACAAGATTTTGCAAAGTGATCAAGGGCCATAACTTTGGCAGTAATTATCGGAAATCGTTGAAAATCAATAAGATTCTTCGTCTCATGATCCTAAACACTGTGTATAAATTTAAGGTCAATCGGATATTAACTTTGGCCTCTAGAGCATCCACAAGATTTTTTGAAGTGATCAAGGGCCATAACTCTGTCAGTAATTATCGGAAATCGCTGAAAATAAATAGGCTTCTTCGTCTCATGACCTTAAACACTGTGTATAAATTTAAAGTGAATCGGTATTAACTTTGGCCTCTAGAGCGTCCACAAGATTTTTTGAAGTGATCAAGGGCCATAACTCTGGCAGTAATTATCGGAAATTGCTAAAAATCAATAGGCTTCTTCGTCTCATGACCTTAAACACTGTGTAACAATTTAAAGTCAATTGGATATTAACTTTGGCCTCTAGAGCGTCCACAAGATTTTTTGAAGTGATCAAGGGCCATAACTCTGGCAGTAATTATCGGAAATTGCTCAAAATCAATAGGCTTCTTCGTCTCATGACCTTAAACACTGTGTATCAATTTAAAGTCAATTGGATATTAACTTTGGCCTCTAGAGCGTCCACAAGATTTTTTGAAGTGATCAAGGGCCATAACTCTGGCCATAACTTTAGCCTCTAGAGCGCCCACAAGCAATTGTGGACGTCGGACCGACGGACGGACGGACGGACGGAGGGGGGCGACGACAATATACGACCACATTTAAATCTGGGCGTATAAAAAATAATTAACTTACCATCATTGGGTGGCGGTTTAATTAAAACTTCTTCAATACACAGTTTATGTGCTAAAATTTTAGCATTTAAGGTTCTACTGTCTATAACTGAGAGGCTGTCAAATGCACTCATGGTTGACTCTTTACTCCGTGTGCAATTCTCAATCCCTTTTATCTGACTGTGATATTTCGTGTAAGTCTCTAATGTTGTTTGCAGAATGATAAATGATAATTCTTTAGAATCAGTTTTTAAAAAAATATCACTAGTAAGTATGGTTTCTTTTCTTGATGGTTGCTGTCAGACCTTCAGCCCATTAGTTCAGAATATTAAACACAAGGAAGTAGTGATGTGTTGTGAAATTACTTTAAATCTAAAGTATAGTCATGCACATGCGTAAGTTAAATCGTTAACTATAGTTGAGGCACTTTATCTGTTTTGAGATATCACTGAACATATGAAGAGATTAAAACGTAGTTGGTCTCTATCCAAAAGAGATGCATGTGTACAATCGAATCGTTCAAAATTATAAATTCGTATTTATCTTTACGGAGACTGCAAATGTGATATCAGAATCACTTACACTATTATGTTGTTCAGGTCTCAAACAACGGAAACAACTTGTACGCAATTTCACTTTCCTGTTTGTTTTTTCTTTTATCTCTTTCCGCTCTCAAGGGACTTCAATTAAAGTATACTTTTCTCTAAAAAATAAAAATGGAATTCACACCTCCCACAATATCTCTAGTAACCGAACAAGTTAATTACTCAACCATCTGTTCAGACGAAGATCATTAGAACATCGTACGGAACTTATATTTCATTTAGTTGTTTGATAGTCTGTTTTTATTTAATCTCACAGAGAGTTTGGGGTTTGAGTGCGATACCGGAGTCTCTGTATAATCAATTTAAAATCACGTTTCACCTGTTTAACTTTGAAGCACAATATTAAAACTATCGCCAAAAGTGGAATGCGAGAGATACACTATCTGAGGTTCCCATTAACACTTACTTTTATATGTATTATTATATATTTCAACTCATTATTATTACGTTTTTGTGAGGTGTTAAAGTAATGTTCACACCATCATACTTTGTCTGATTATTTCTAAAGCTGTGTGATTTCTGACATAATTTTAGTTACTGGTACGCTTCTGTTAGTGTAATTGGTGTTAACTTTATACTTAACAAGTTTACAGCATAAATTTTTAACCACTTTAGTCTCCTTGGTCGACAAATTTCACGGATTTAACATGATCTTTGAGAAGTATTATGTATCAACGACTTGCTTCCATTAAAGTGTTCCTGAAAGTATAAATAAATAAAATATCAGACTTGACAACAAAGACTAGTCATATTTGATCAAACACTTCATAACGCTGACATTTCGCTACTGGTAAGTCACGAACTGAAAACATAGTCAAACGCCCCAATCGTTCGAATAATGGTGACACATCCTTGAATAAAAATGTATATTCTCCAGAAAAGCCGACCTGTTTCAATTCATTTAAGCTTTCATGATATTATCGAAATATACAACAAAACATCGATAGCGACATGTTTCCTTATTATCCGCTCACAAAGAACTTTATAAATGCGCTCTCAAATACAAGGTCCACAAAATTTCAAGCTGAAACATATATCGGAGGCTTGATTGTCAGCCCGGAACGTTTCGAATTGATAGAATTACAATTGAGTGGGACGGAATTTAGTCCTGTCACAGTTCTGTCAGTCCCGACAACGGAGGTGGTGTGAGTAGAATCGTGACGTAATTAAACACAGCAAATATGTTTCAGCTGTCATGGTTGGTTGAAATATTTTCGCATGCAGTCGGCGCATCATATTCCTGAAGCAATGGCCAGAGAAATCCCTCTCTGGCCATTGCTGGATTGGCTTCTGATACGTGAGCTTTTGAGGGAGTGTGTCTATTCTTCCCGTTCAATCAAATCTATCCCAAGGGGTCTTCCCTAAGACTTTGGATTTAAAGTATTAAAAACGGCGAAAGTATTATTCGTCTCCAAACAGTATTGTTTACATTTTATTCGTTTTGCCACGCACTTAGTTTTTCTGCAATATTCGGCTATTCACTGGTTAATTGGGCGTAACGTTATGTAAACATATTTGGTCCAATTTGGAGCTCTGTTTAAAGCGTAATGATATTGTTAAGCAGTCAGCTGTTGGTTGTTATTCGGATTATTAACCAGTCATAATTTGGAACAGAAATTTGCTTCCTTTACAGCAGTGTTAAGTGGGATTAGGTATAATCAAATGAAACACTGCGAGGGGTATGTCGGCGCATGCGTTCTAGCTTTTCACTCGATTGTCAGTATTTTTGGGTTTGACAGAATTCAATTCCGGAACGTGCAGTCGAGCATTCCCTAAGTGTTTAAGACGGCAAATAACCAAGGAAAGAGTGTAGTATTATAGGACTTCTTGTTGTGTTTACTTTCTGATGATCTTTAATAAGACTACAGCATAAAATAGTTTCACAACTTTATTTCTAAGTTGGACTGGCTTTGCAGGTTCCTCGTTCTCAATGATAATGGCTGGTAGGAATTTCTGGGTGAGCTCTAATCCAGCTCGCCTCTACACCCTAATTTATACCCCCTAATTTCTGCAGGTCTTCGATAACCTTGACGTTAATTTCCACGCCATATAAGGAATAAAACTCTTTATTTCCCACAAATAAGATAGGAAACAATACATATTTTTGATCTATCAACCATAGGTCAATAAACAGCCAGAATTTGATGACTATTTTGACAATGATTATGATTTGACCAAAATATCACTGGTTTTTTTACGAATAAGTATACCCACGTTCATTAAGTACGTGTGATTTGACTTTATAGACAAAATTGAAGAGACAATTTTATAAAGACCCAAAATTGTCTCAAGGGCCAAAGTGTTACAAGAGTACCACACGAAAAGCTTATAATTGATCAGGGTTTTACATCTCATCTAAACTGTATTTCGGTCGTGAGTAATTCCCAAGTTATCATGTCTGATTTATCTCAGACGAACACCGCCCTGTAGAATACAATTATGCAACAGATCATATGGCATTATTATGTGAAAATAGATGTAGAACACCAAGGTTCTTCAACTTTGGATTAAAGGGACAGCTCGTCGGTATCGTCTACCTGTATCGAAATGAAATGAAATGCCCTTTAACGTCTAACTATTAAATGCGGGCTTATGCAATGCAGTGTGTGCTACAACCTACTCTTAATTCTGCGACAAAAAGGCAGCATATCTTTAAAGTGCGTTCTGCCAATGATATAATGACTAGATGATGTTTCTGCATTTCTGACAAGGGTAATCCAGGCTATAAAATACATCGGCCAATACCGGGATCGAACCTGGCACTTCTTGGGTGGTAAGCCAGCGCTCACAGAGCTACCATGGCTCCCAGTAGAATTTCAACAAAAATCTGTGACATAAATCAATGCCAGGTATTTAAGAGCTCAAACTAGTCGTAGTTTAAATCATGTTTCACCGAGATCGTTAGCTGACCAAGATGGCGAGACTAACAACGATTTCTAATGAAGAATATCATGTCTCATTTCGAACTTATTACGCCAGAGGGCCAATATTAGTCTCAAATGTGAGGTTAATATATATATTTATAGTCTGTCGAATGTATATATCATTATTATTCGTTTGAATATAGCATGATTTGTAATGATCTAAAATTGGCCCGTGATGATTAATACAGGTTAGCGTTACGCGTCGGTTAGTGTTAAGAAGGATTAATGTAATCGCTCCTTATATGGTATTCAGGCGGTGTTCTTGTGTCAAAATAATTGGCAATAGACTATTAACACTATTCTGGACGGACTGAGAAGGAACCCGCGAGTATGGTAGGCTAGGGGGCCCCAAAATAATTTAATGTCGTCTCTCTTTTTCACACTTTGGTGACCCTTTTTGGTCTTGAATTCACATCGATTTTGATGAAATGGTAAGATTGTCACAGGCTAATCTGTGCATAAGTTAGAAACATCAGGATTTACTCTAGAAAGCACCATTTACAGTCAGGTTTCTTTTTTTTTGGGGGGGGGGGTTGTTTTTCTTAATACTCGCCTTTGAGCGGGAGGCCCCCGGTCCGTCTCTGAGCTGTATTAATCAAATATCGAAAAAACGTCTCTTTGTTCTGATCTGACCACGGATCGTATATACCGAGTCGTGATGTCTATACATTATACATTATAAACTTGTAAGACATGTTTCAGCACATGCCACAAATATTTATAAAATTTCATCTGTTTTCGCGAAATAAAAAAACTAAAAAGAATAAAAAGGGAAATAAACTATGAGTTCAAATTATATGATATGACGTCATGTTATAATATTTACGGTAAGTCAAACAAACGTATTGTGCGAGTTATGGTATAAGGCACCTGTGATTCCGGGTAGGTATATTTATAAATTTATAAATCTGGCAGCTAACAGTAAAGATATAGCCCGGGGTTAGAATGCGCTAACCTTAATCAAGCTGTAGTGATAACATGGTGAAAGAATCTTGCTGTACTGAATTAAATTATGCTTGTACACGAATTACCTTGAAAACTTATATCAACAATATAATTGGAAATTGAAAATAGCTGTCTGTTGTATTGTCTCGGCGTTCAACGATTTTTGGGGTATTAACCCTTTCAGTGCCATGAACTTATTTGTGCCGATCGTGAATTTGAGACCTGTTCGTCTATGTCGTTAAAATAATTAGAGAGTTTGCGCAAAGATGCGATTACGATTACGCTACATTTGGATACAACTTGAAATTTGGACATCACAAAATTCCGCGATATCTATGAGCACAAACAGGCATCGGTAACAATACAATAATTGATATCAAAATCATCACATCTTTCTTCTCGAAGCCAGATGGATTAAGACATGACCAGTATTTATGGGCTAGAAATAACTCATTTGGTCTTCGAAGGAATTATTAGTGAGCAGAAATTCGCCCGTATATCCGTTATCATTCGTCACATCAGTCAGTTATATAGAGAGGCGACTCGTGTTTTCCTTTGGCGTTCGTCACTTCCGATTCAGAAAAACTGTATTACTCAGCTATCGTACAATGATCTCTGAGATAAAAATATATTTGGAATGTGTTTAACCAGCTCTATCACATATGTGATAATGACTGGCACCAATATTGTCCTTTAATGGAAACATTTGCAATACACAAAAACTGATCACGAGCGGAGTATAAATAAAACTTGATTGACTCGTAGCAAACGTGTACATCGTTGAAAATCAATCCCAAACATAAACATTGTGTATACATTTTATTTCAATTAGACAATAGCTTTTATTTGCCCTTAGAGCATCCATAAATAGTCAAACCTTCAGTAGAAATGTGTGAAAATCTATACACTTCTTCGTCTCATTATCATAAACACCTTGCAGAAATTTAAAGTCAATCGACTGGTTACCAGTCTAACTGTACGGTTACAACGAATGTGTCCTCGCTAGATTGTATACAAAATCTGCTCCGAACTGGGCTTATGAAGACGGGCATACGCCATACAGTGTGCTATGAGGGAATTTTGCCCGGACAGCGGCACTACGGCCTACTCTTATATCGAATTCCAACTGTCAAGGGATCTTTTACGTGCACGCCAATGTGTACATGGGACCTCGGTATTCGTCCATTCCGAACGACTAGACAGGTGTCCTTGTCAGCTCTCCGCCCTGCATCACTGACAAGTGGGAACCACGCTTGAGAAAATCTGAATGAAATGTGCCTCTATCAATGAGTTATTAATATTTAACGTGGTTTTGAAGGAGTTTAATGAACTATCTCGCAAAATATATTACTGTAAGTAGGCCAGTGGATGGATTTGTGAAGATGAGGTTAATTTGAATATATTTTATAAATAATATATAGCATATATTTTCGGGGTAACCGTCTCTTTAAATAGCCATATTCCTCTTTTCCCGGATGGTTATCAAATTTCCTCAGAACTACATAACCTGTCTTTACCAGAATGTTAACGAGAATTTTAACCCCATTTCATTCCACACGTCTACAATTTGGCATTCTCAGATCGGTAGTGAGCCGTGGAAATTCCGTGGAGCTCCCCGGTTCGGTCCCGAAAGTTCCTTCGCGAGTTTCCGGCGTGGTTTCCCTTTGTCATTGCTGCAGAACGGATCGCCCAGCAAGGAACGGCGCCTAATCGTACGGATTGGAGTGCACGTAAAAGAACTCTTGACTGTTGGAAAGTAAGCCGTAGCGCCGCGTCAGGTGTACAATTTTACCCATTGCACACTGCAGGTCGTATTTGCCCGATAGGAGT